AATGATTCTTGGTGCATCATTGCAGAAGAGGTCTTGGTCCCTTGTGCCTACTAAGCTATGCACAAAGGGGAATTTGAAGCTTAGAGGATCTTTAAGGTTGGGCAGATTTCATATTAATGTGATCTCAGACTTTTTAGTCCTTTAAAGGTCAAAAGTGAAACTGGCACTTCAAATTGAGCCCAGAAACAAAGTGGTAACTTATGCAGACAATTTAATAGTGGAGTTATATATCCTGATTTGCCAACCCAGTAACATCCTGGCAGGTATATGCTGGGCCAACTGAAGCTTCTGAACTGTTTGCAAAGGTAGCTACATGTAGAGTATATTACAGTAAATCTAACTGAGATTAGAAAGTGAATGACAATGTCTAAATCTGGTATCTCAGGGAAAGTGTTTCGCTAGTATAGCCAGTGTGGCATAGTGGTTAAGAGCATGGGACTGGGACTCAGACGATCTGGGTTCTAGTCCCCGCTCAGCCATGGAGCCAACTGGGTGGCTTTGGGCCAGTCACAGTCTCTCAGCCCAACCTACCTCACAGGGTTGTTGTTGTGGGGCTAAGATGGAGGAGTAGACTGATGTAAGCTGCCTTGAGCCCTTTGTAGGAAAAAGGCAGGATATAAATCGAATAAATAAATAAATAGTATACCAGTCAAAGCTGGTCAAACACATTCCTAGCCACTGCTGCCACCTGACTATTCAGGAACACCATTCTGAGAACTTTATTTTTAAGTTAGGAAAAAATGACCCAATCCCAAATACAATAAACACCTTCTCCTCAAGGTGCAGAATCCTGAATCAACAATACTTCATTTATGTCAAGATTAAGCCGCAACAACCACAAAATGGCTGGACTACATTTAGTAACCCTTCTTTGATTTGTTAATGATTTGGGATTCATCACTGGATTGAGATGATGCTTTTTAAAAAAACCTAAATTGTTTGTTTATCAATTATTAACAACAACATACCACTTTAAACATAAACAGTTTTTAGAGCAGTGAATGATAAAAAGACAGAACTGATAAAATAATAGAACAGATATTTTAAAAACAGGATAGTGATAAAATTATGACTGGTCAGTCAAGGAAGGCTTTCTAATAAATGTTTTCTGGAAGCTCCAAAGACAGTATTGGTGCCTCCTGACCACCAGAAGCAGGGCATTCCAGAAAAACGGAGCTGCTACACTTCTCCAGGTGGACTCAAGTCAGGTCAGAGGTCTGTGTGGAACCACAAGGAGCATGCCATCTTGTGACCTTGGTAAGCAATAGCTTGGTATGGGAGAGAAGGTGTAATATCATGGGGACCTTAAAATAGTCTAACAAAATATGCAGAAATCAAAACCATTTTTAAATAAAATAAGCTATATAATTAAATGTAAGCACTGTTTCAAGGGTACAAGCACAGTTCAGAACATCTTGTTGCACTATACCTTGTTGCACTATACATAATGCTCAGAAGAAAAACATTAACTAAGAGTAGTCAGGATGCCTTAATTTTCTGGCTGAAAACCCATCCATTTCATACTTATATAACACTGCTCTAGTATGCATACCACTATGTATGAGTGGGAGACATGAGCAGGGTAAGAATGCCTTAAACAAACAGAATCATACAGTTGGAGAGGACCTAGCTGCCATCAGGTCCTGCTCAATGCAGGCCTCAAGTCTCCCATCCAGGTTCCAACAAAGCCTGTCCCTGCTTAGCTTCCAAGATTAGGCAAGATCAGGCACTTCAGGTTTACCTGCATGGAATATGCCTTTTATCAGATTCTTTTTTCTATTCCCACAAAGACAGGCAGATCCATCCAACATGGCTGACAGTAACCCTCTGAACTTGGAGAATTGTGGGCTTCCACTTGAGGGATGCCAGAATTGACTTGGTACTGCTCCTACCATTCAAAACATTTAGATGCCTGATTTCATTTAAGTTTTTAACATTGCTTGTGAAGAGGCAGGGCTGAGGCACAGCCAGGATTCCTTGTATCCCAATGAGGCCTTGCCCCTTCCCCACAAGCCCTGGAACAACTTCCCACCCCTGCACCAGCAACTGGCAGAAAAACATCTGAATTCAGAGACCAAGCTCTGACCTCAGTATACTTTTTTGAAGTCAGAGCTGTCTCTCCAAATTTTTCTAACAGCCAGAGTGTCTAGCAAGCACAGGTTTGTGCCCTTGAGTGCATTAAATCACATCCTAAATATTCTGACCAAAGTACTTGTCTGCATTACAAGTGTAAATTGCATAAGCACTAAATCAGAGATGGCTATCCTTTATACTCAACAATGTCCTGGAAATTCTGCTCCCTTCAAATGACACAGTGGCCTGTCTCCAGCATTGTATTTACACAAGATAACTCCTTGCTGCTTGTGCTTGTGTAATACACAAAAATAACAGACATAACTGTTGTGTGCATACACATGAGTTCTTTTCTTCACACAAAATCTTCACCTTATCTGTGTAACAAGTGTCATGGTCTTGTTGGTTGTACCATGACCGGCAGATGGACATCTTGTGGCAACCCAGAAGCAAGCTTTTCCTGGAGGTGCACACCTCTGGAATATCCTTCCCAACCTGGCATTCTAGAAGCAGCATATGAGCTATGCTTTAAGCTCTGATTAAAGACACTTTTTTGTTTAACCTGGGTCTGATTCTGCTATCCAGCTGGTTATTATGGTTTTGCAAGTATTTGTTTTTCATGTTTTCACAGATGTTATATATACTGTTTTTGTATTTAATTCTGATGACCAATGTGTTTTAACCTTTCTGTAAACTGCTTAAAAGATTTTTAAAGATATGTTAAGCAGTACATAAATCTATTTAATAATAATAATAGCAGCAGCAGCAGCAGCAGCAGCAGAATAGTAAATAAGATGATGAGGATGTGTGATGCTCTCTTGAAGAAACTGGTAGTTCAAACGCTTGCTGGGGACACCAGAGTGTGAATGACAGATGTCCTTATAAAGAATATTTCACATTCCAGAGCTTTGATCCAGTGCAATTTTCATTCTACAAATTCTTTCTGGGTTATCCTGATAGAATAATCTGAGCAGCTGCAAACAGTCACATGACACCCCTGTAAGACTATGAATAGTGAGTGAGCAACATAGTGCACAGCCTTGTCTAAAGTAGCACATACCCAAACACAAAAAGCTTCCATGTATTATATGGTATCATTTTCACATGTACAAATGCTTTACAGTTTTGGGATAATTTACATTTATAATAGACCTGACAGGCTAAGAGATTTGTCCAAGGCCACTCCATTACTTTTATGGCCAAGTGAGAATTTGAACCTTTGGTTTTTTACATCCAAACACTATCAACTACACTATATTGGGATAATAACTACAGCAGGATAACTAAGTTATAGTATTCATTATGGGTTTGCTGTCTGCACTAATTTTTCTATGACTGTATATTCCTCTGAATAAATATTACGGTATTCTGATACATTCATATCTAACTATGAGTACTAGTGTAGTAAAGATGACGGCACCAGAGAAATCCCAGCTCAAATCCTTTTCTAAGAATTTGAATTTGAAACACAGAAACACCTAATCTGAACACTCATTTTGCTGAAAGCACAAGGGCTACTGACCACATAATGTGGGAGAGACACCCCAAGAGTTGCTGGCGGCATGCAGGGAGTTGCACCACACTGGGTATGCCTCAGGTGGGCCCTTTTTTGGGGGGGCCATTTGGGCTGCCCTGCTGTATCATGGTGAAACCCACACGAGGCTGTGTTTCTTTAGCTCACTGCAATGATGGGTAACTGGACTTTGTGTGTGTGTGTGTGTGGGATTATAGCTCTATCCTATTATTACTGATATTATGTATTGATGTTCAGTTGCAAAGTTGTGTCTGACTCTTTGTGACCCCATGGACAACATTCCTCCCAACTCTCCTGTCCTCCACCATCCCCCAGAGTCCACCCAACCCCACACCATGTCATATATTGTAGTATATAATGGGATAGGAAGCTGATGGTTCCTGAGGGAAGTGGAAATGAGCAGCAAATTGCAAATCACGCATAGATCATCGATGGATTGGTTTACACACTCATTACTACTGTCCCTTGCTCCTGTCAGCACAAGAATACCTCCTGGAAGGCAGAAGAATAAGAGCCCAAATACCAGCAGCCTCATGCTCATCTTCAGCTACATTGATTTGCAGAGCTCTAGGCTTGTACAGAGGGAGGACAGTGCTTTCACTGGCAGTTTCCAGTGGCTGTTCCCAACCTGGTACCTTCTGGAAAAATGGAAGGAGTGAGAGTACACATGTCTATACCCTTCCTCTGATTTTGGTAAAACAGGCACCACTGGATTGTGCCACCTCAGGCATTCAACCGCTGTGCCTGTACTGTACATTTGTCACTCAGTCTGTAAGGGATGGATTAAGAGCATCTACTTCTTGCCTAACACACTATCTGCACAGTGGTAGAGATCTGCCAGGTAACAGGCTCTGCAAATTCCATACTTTGGGAAACTTCAAAAAACTTTGTCAACAGTACCAACTTCACTGCTGGCAAATTGTAAGAGTTGCTAAACTGGAGAAAGCAGCATAGCTATCTGAAGCCATTTAATCTGTAGTCTATTTCTGGAAAAACTTACAAAGTGGTCTATCAGACTATACAAGTTTTCCACATCTAACTGTCTAATATTATCTTAAAAAACCAAAACAACCCACACCAACCCAGCATTCTTCTGAGGCAAATACCTAAGCTATTTATAAAGTACTTTGCACAAAGCTCTGCTGAAGAAGAAAGAAGTACTTAGGTACCCCACAAAATGAAAAAATTACATTCTGCATTTAGTTTTTAAAGAGACAATAATAGTACTTCAGAATCAATTTATTCTCAGTCTAATGCTGTCTGGTGAATTACACCTTTCAGGATGCTTTAACAAGCGTTAGATAAATTGCCTGTTTTATTCCACCAGTCAGAAAGAAATATCTTCTTTGTCTTTGTCTTTTTTTAAGAAATAGGACCCAAAAGCAGGACTCACATGTAACTTTCCCAGGATCTGTGCTGGCTGATATTCTCACGAAACAGGGAAGTGGACGAACAGAGATATTACTAAGTTACAGCAATCCATTAAGATATGAACACCCAAAGATGCACAGGGCAGTTCAGCTTCACTGTTTGCAACCTAAAATGTAAAAAACAAAACAAAACAAAAACATCAACACACAGTTCAGAAAATGGGTTTGCACTGATGTTTTGTTTTCCTCTGGTCCATACAAAATTAAAGTTCCATTATGTATTAAAGTCTATGTAAGGGATTCTCGTTTTTGGTGATGCTAGAAAAATGAATCAAACAACACCCATTCAAAGGACGTTTTGATGAGAAGTAAAGGAATTCTAACAAATTAATGTACATCATACTAAATCTATTGCATTTTCATTTCTTTATATGTTTAGATCTACTTATGCTTGTAATTTGTGAGGCATAGAAAAATACTTCTGTAGTTTCAGTCTGGAAGGATCTGAATACTGCTCTACACAGGCACAGAATCGATATGTGGGACTGCAGGGAGGCCTAGCCCACAAAAAAATTGGTAACACTTCCTTGCCTGATTTGATACCTACCACAGCAATCCAGAAGTGTGGAAATGATAACATATTTTGGCTCTTCTGGATTCATACAACAAAATCACCAAGCAATGTGTACATAAATATTAAAATCACACTTAAAAATTATTATTAAAATAAGATTCAAAAGACTGTTTTAAAAACAATCCCAATTATAATAATTGTTCCTATAATTACAATTCAGAGCAATACAGGAGCAGTAAAATGGAGCAACATGATTAACTTAATTATACTCAGGGAAAGCTTGGGTGAACAAGTACATTTCCAGCAGGCTTTTGAGAGATGTCACATTTTTTGCCTCCCAAACTACATGAGGCAGTTTTCCAAAGGCTGGCTGGTGCTACTGAGAAGACCATCCCACTGCCAAGGAGTTCTGTGGCAACATTCCATTATATAATATTTTACAGAGCCAGCCTGGGTTGATATGGAAGTAGTAGATCTTATCATCTAAATTGTATCATTGTCCTCATGCTTTCATGCACATACACTAATTTCTCATCACTTGATGCTGGGCAGATCAGTCCTTAAACTGAGCCTACTGAAAAGCACAGCACCTGAAAGTTGACAAGAACGTTTTCTTTTTTGTGCTGGTTCATTCACACATACAATCTATCACTTAAACCTGCAGCAATCAGAACCTCCATTCATAAACCAGCACTCATTCCTCATTTATAAATCACATCCTAGATGTACTAGATGACTGCTATGAACTTGCAGGAGAAGAGGAAAAGCCATTTTACGTTTAATGCTTAAATCAGGTTTAAGCTGAAATTACTTGGCATCTTTCAATAACACAGAAAATGTTTGTGAAAAATTGCTTTCTTGTTTAACAATTTGTCCTTTGTTAATTCATTATTTGCAAAAATGTTTGGCAGTTGATTTACATCATGCTTTCTAACTCTTAGCTAACTTCACTTGTCTCCCTTTGATGTAATCACATAAGTTGGCCTTCCTTGCACTGTGACCTCAGATATACTAGATACCTTGCCCAACATCCAGAGCCAGCATGGAGGGCATCACGCTAGGAAAGCCTGAAGCAAGTAAATCTAATTGGTTATGAAGCATTGTGATACTATCCTATTCAAGTAGATCATTTCTGATTGGCTAGGATCACTCATGTGACCAATACAGATGGGAAGAAGAACTAGAATCCAAGGAAAAAGTGACATTGAGGCAGAGAGAAAAAAAATGTCACTGAACAAAGCCATTGTTGCTGGGTGTAAAATATGTGTATTTATGTTTGCCTAGAAAAAAATAGACTAGAACATATTTAGTAGAACCCTACACATGAAGAGAAGTGGGGTTTCCCCTCTCAAAAGTAAATGCATACTTAATTCGCAATTAAGTTATAGGAAAGAATAGCTGGACATAAAACAGAAAAACCAAGCCACTAAGGGGGAAGGAAGGAGGAAGCGTGCCCAAAGTATACTTAACAGAGATAACACTTGATTCCTATCTGGGTTGCTTCCCAACAATGGTAAAAATAAAACTTAGGGGTTTTTGGGTGGGTGGGTGGAGGACTCCTATTGCTGCCAGTGAGACTCTCCCCCCACAAAATTCCAAGCTTCTTCATGACATGCTAGTTCTCCATGTGTAAGACTCTCCCTTCCCAATTTTTAAAAACTGTACAAGCATTTTATAATGTAGCAAAGTCTGAGTACAATCTAGAGGTAAGTTTTACCACCTTGGTGCAAACTAGGCCTTCAGCATTCTTGGAAGGTGTGATTGATGTTGACTGCTGTAAAAGCACAGGACGGCATCCCAAACATTGCATTCCCTTTCTGCAAATTTCTTGCTCTCTATTTTTCTCCCTGTGTTCCCTAGCTATCCTTATACTATACTCAGTGAGCCAAAGCATATCAAGTTTAACACATGATCTATAAAATGAAAGCAGGAATTTCTCTGCTCAGAGGGTCAGGCTAGGGTAAGTTGTAACCTAACCTTCTCCTATTGCATTCCTAAACATCTGTGTCTAGTCCAAGTCCATTCCATGTTTCTATTTTATACAGTCATCCTTTTTCTGAAACGTAGGAATGACTAATAGAAAATATTTCTTTGCCCACACTAAAAACATAGCACCCACAAAGAGAACCTACAGTATTCTAATTGACATTTGAAGGAATGTGCCTCTATTCTTTGCATTGGGTTTGCAATGGAAATGAAGACACAGAGATAAGGTTTAATACAAGCCTCTGCAAGTAATACACACATCTTCCTATGTGCTGTAGTCCAGTGAAAAGGCTATTACTTCCTTGAGGCAGGTCCCTGCACAACCTGGAGTCTATACTGGGAGGCTATTACTCTTGTGGGAGTATAGCAGGGGGACTCTAAAAGAAGAGAGCAGATCACCTGAGCAGGTTGTGTAGTAACTTGGAGAGATTTCTTGGAATCATAATTTCTCCCAAGCAGAATACTTGAATCTTAGGTCAGGGCAAGATGCTTACGGAAAATTGTACAAAACTTAAGTTACATGATCAGCCCTCCCTCTCAAAAAAATCAAAGTTCCAGTATAAAATCCTAACTAGCTTCAATCTACTATGGGCACGTGGAACCGCCAGTCTGTTGAGGCTTCTTTGGCCCCTCCAAGAGCCGGTCTTGGCCTCTGAGCTCAACCCCTGAAGAAGTACACACATGTGCACATGCACGAACTCATGCACACGGGGGGGATCCTTGCTATTATTTCTGGAGGTAACAGCAAGGATGCAAACAACTAAAACTGGGAATTGATGAGCATCAGGAGGAGTTACTACTCCTTTGAGTGCTTGATCAAAAGCACAGTGTGCACTGCATAAATGGAAGAACTTGTTTGCTTATCCTAGAGAAGGATAAATCCTTTTTTTGCATCCAAAAAGAGTCACGGAGAAAGGCAACGGGGCAGGAGATGTTAGTGTGTGTGATCATGCTGAGATCATGTATTTGATCACTGATATAATCTGCCTCATGGGAGACCCTGAATATAGCAATTTCACCATCAACACCATCATGATCAGAAACTTGCTCTGCACATACACATGCATGCCCGTCAAAAACTTGCTTGCACTACAGATCTGGAAGCATACTTGGAACTTTAAATGCTTGCACCAACATTACCTGGACAACTAGAGATCATAAATGTTGATGTCTCTACTCATAAAGTAGACTCATGTCGTTATCAGCCCAAGATATCCTGAGCCCCATCTGTTTGTGTGAAAGCATCCATGGTTAGAGGTGGCTGTATCTTCCGAAATGAGCTCCTTGCATGTGCACAGAGCCCATATGTGTGAAGCAGAGAGACCACAAAGAAGAAAAACTCACTCTTTCACCACAACTGGCTTCCAACCCAGGCTCTTTCCCACCAGAACAATCCACCACTTGCTGATCTGTCCAAGGGACTGCCACCACCACAGTCTGATGATACTGAAAGTCACCCAGCAGCAGCACCTGTTCAAGGCCTACAAGTCCGTATGATGAGGCCTGACTAGTGACTGACATTTCAGCTTCAAGCAGCAAGGAAAAATGATGCACAAATTAGATCTTTTAAGAAAACAGAGTAAAAATCTAGAGGATGAGAGTAGAATTTCATTTCATGTACCAATACACATCTGTATAGAGCATTTCAAGCTTTCAAAGTATCAGGGATACATCATCTCAGTAAGCTTCCCAAGACAGATCAGCTTTTATTGTCACCACAGTGGTCTGTAGTATTACTGAAGACTTAACTACTAAAATGCAGTGTATGATTTCTAAGATCTGATCTATATTTGGGAACTTCAGCTGGCTCATAATGCAGTAGTTCTGCTTCTATCTGAAGATGACCATTAATGACCAAAAGCTTTTTTGTTTTCATTTTTACTCTAGACTACGTACAGGGCACTCAATCTGAAACAGGACTCTAGCATTGGGCAGAAGGTCTTTTGAAAGCCAAATTGAAACAGCTGTGCCTACTTTGGAGTAAAAATGAAGGTCAAAGCAGGCATAGATACAGATTTAAAGTTAAGCCTGTTATACCGAAACTCCCACAAGTCCCAGCCAGGATAGCTGCCACAGGGAGTGCTTGCAAATCAACAGAAATACTGCTGAAGAAAATCAACTGAAGAAAGACTGCTTTAGTTGCCACAACTGTGGGCAGTGAGATGCAGTTCTACTTTTGTTTTGGTGGGAATGCCCATTTGTGGAACTTCCATGCCAAAGAGAAGTGCCAAGTCTATTCCACTAAAACTCTCAGGCAGCTGAAGGAAAGCCATCCATCAAAGCCAGGGGTTTCCCATGGTTTGAGGAAAGAGGTGTCAGGCTTTGTCGTTCGGAGATTTAAGAATCGGTACAATGATTGACTTTTGAAGCTGTTTATCTTGTTTTAATTACTTTGTTTTAAAGTAGTGTAAGGAAAATCTGCTGTGAATTTATCACTAGGGCTGTTATAGTGGGTGTGGGAAGGGATGGGAGGTGCAGCAGTGAGGCTGGCCAAACCATCTAATGAATTCATGGCTAAAGGGACTTCCCCACTCACACTCTAAGAGAGCAATCCCGTACATGTCTGCTCAGAACTAAGGTCAATGGCGCTTACTCTCAAGATTTCAG